ATCCATGAAATAAAAAAAGCAAAAGATTAATGGTATAATAGTTAAAAAAATATTAAGCACTTAGGGCTGGAGGCACAAGTCATAATAGAAGATGTAATTTGCCTGCTCAAGGTCCTGGGTATGATCTCCAGCATCATCAAAATAAATAAAATAAAAAACAATTATTTACACAGACTTATGTCCACTGCCATAAATGACCACCTTTAGAAAATGTATTATCCTTTAGCATATCAAGGATAATTAACATGTTACACATTATTTAAAAGAGAGAAAAACAGAGTAAGGGGACTATCATTGTTTCAATGTCAACTATCATCCATATGCTTCTGTTCTGAAGACGTCTTCCTAAGTTGGTGGTGCTCTTTAAACAACCCAAGGAGTCTTTATGAGGTCAGGTAAGTGTGTGTTTGTGGTTGTCACTGAAGTGAGCCTAGAAAGGTTTCCTCCTGGCTGTTTTATAGTGCATTGTCTCCACATGTTTCTGTGCTGTGAATTGGGCTGCTCTGTATGCTTTCTCTGCCATGATAGGTTGCAAACGTTCAAAACTTTGAGCCACAATAAATCTTTGCTAGCTTAATTTTTAATGTCAGATTATATGATCAAAGAGATGCATAAGTAACTAATTAGGGATGAAAGGAGCCACTTGCTGACAGAATTACTAAATTGATAGCTATTATGAGCCAGGTGGTGAGCAGTTTCAATACATAATTTTACATGTACATCTATCTCAAACTAAGAAAAACATAAAAGCATTTGATTAAATACTAATGCTGAGAAACTAAAGATGTATACAAAGGAAATCATATCATATGATTTAGAGTGATGAAAAATAAATGTACGCATTTGTGCCTACTATTGCAAAAAAAGTTATAATTACTCTGTTCATACCTAAGAATGCTATTATAACTTAAATTTCTAGTCATTAGTCCTCATCAATACATGGTAAACATGATTTGTCTGCTCTGGGGCCTGGGCAAAACCAGCCATTGTCAACTTTCATGAGGTGAAATGGGCTTTAATTTGCACTAACTTTCATATACAAAGTAGTACCCAAAATAAAGGTTCAAAAAACTAAGTCGCCCTTCATGGAAGATTAGAGCAAAACGTCCAGCCATCGTTGATTTCATTTCAGCCATCCATATGGCCTCTCAATAAACTATGCCACAATAAAAAGAAAAGCTCCAAAGTAAAAACAGCCCTGAGGATGAGATGATGTATCAGACAGCATCTTGGAAAATGATATAAATGAAGGTTCAAAAAGCTGAGATAATTTTTTATACAACTATACAGGATTACAATGTATTCTACCATTTCATGTTCATCACTAATTTTTAAAACATTCTTAACTTAAATAATTTAAAACTATTCCTTTGAAGATCACTACATCTAAAGGTAAGTGAGAATGACAACAGGCCAAATATTTTCTGTCGCTCATCTACCAATAAAACTTTATTTACACATCACTCTGAAATAACCACAGTATGAGTTTTCCAATGTTGGTGCTGGGTGTCTGTTATATACAGAGAAAAGAAAAAAAAGTGGTCTGAATTTTCCTAAAGAAGTGACTTAGGACGTAACCTCACCTGGAATTAGAAACTGGACATTGTTTCTTCTTGAAATCTGCCTTAGCCTAATAAATTAGAGTTGAAAAGGAAAAAAAAAGAAAAGTTGGAGGGAAGGTAAATTAGTTCAACGTAATCATTCTACAAAGTCTGTGTATGAGTTACTTGTCTGGTGCTATGCTAGTGTGGTGGTCTCAATGAAAATGGCTCAATAGGCTCTTTGGGATGACACTATTAGGGGTAGCCTTGCTGGAGAAAATGTGGCTTTGTTGAAGGAAGTGTGTCACTAGAGAGTGGGCTTTGAGGTCTCAGAAGCTCAAGCCAGGCCTAGTGGCCTAGAGTTCTCTTCCTACTGCCTGTGGAGTGGATCACTCTTTGTCAACACTGTCTGCATGCCACCATGCTTCCTACTATGACAACAATGACCTAATCCTCTGACCTGTAAACCATCCCAAATTAAATGTTTTCCTTTAGAAGAGTTGCTGTGCTCGTGGTATCTCTTCACAGCAACAAAACCTTAACTAAGACAGATAGGATACTGACAAAAAGCAACTTAGAAGCGAACAGGGTTTATTTGGGCTTAAAGTTCCAGTCCATCACTGTGGGAAAGGCATGTAGCAGGAGTACCAAACTAGCCTGGCAGGAAGCAAGGTGATCACATTTCATATGCTTGCAGGAAGTAGAGGGAGAATGGGAAGTAGGGCTAGATTATAAATCTCAAAACCTGTCCAGGAGACATACTTCCTCCAGCAAGGCACTAGCATCTACAGATCTATAACCTTCCCAATCAATGCGTCTAGCTAGGGACCAATCCATCATTCAGACAGATGAGGCTATTGAGGATATTTCATATTCAAACTATAATATATATGCATATATATAAATACATGTTATATATATTATGTATTTTATATATACATTATATATGTATGTGTGTCATATACATGTATGTCAAAATATCATATGTAATCAAGTATAGAGTTAATGCAATTATTTTAATGACTTCAATTGTAGTCTTTAGGTAGGACATCTTAATCTTTAGGTAGAATATCATTCATTTCTTTAAAATTATTAAAGATAAATTACAGAGTCAGTCTCTAAGAGAATAACTACATTTTCCTTAAAGTAGGCCAGCCCTATGATGGTTAATATTGGCTGTCAACTTGACAGGACCAAAACCACCTAGGAGACAGATCTCTGAGCATGTTTACCAGGAAGTTTCTTGATTTGAATTAAGTGAGATGGCAAAGACCCACCTGAACTGTGAGTGACACCGTTCGTTCTGTGCACTGGACTGCAACCAGACTGAGAACAGTGAGCTGAGCATGTGCATCCATCTTCCTGTGCATCCTGTCTGTGGATGCCATGTGACCTGCTGCCTCACACTTCTGTTGCCATGACAGCCATCCACTGATACTTTGAGTCAAGAGAAAACTTTCCTTCCTTCAGCTGTTTTTGTCAGGTAGTAATCACAGCAATTATGATGTAACTAATACAAATTCCAAATCTGCATGGATCTGGGAGAGTAAGTATTTCTTCCTCCAGGTTAAATGCCAAACAAGTGAATGTATCTGTTTTTGTAATGCTGAAGGCTGGTTATAATGCCCAGTGGATGCAGATTTAAAAAAAAATTAAATTAGCTTTAGGATGTCAGGCTTGAATTCAGACCTGTAGCAGTTCCAAAGAAGAAAAAGAAAACAAAATAGTATAAGAAACATTCAAAGAAACTTTTTGACATGAATTTCCATAATGAAAGGCCTTTTGTTATGAAAGCATCTAGTATAAGCAATGAAAAAAGTGTTCGAGCCAAAGCTCATTATGGTGAAAATTCCAATATTCAGATAATAAAAAGACTATACTATGTTTTACAGAAGGAAAAATTATCACATGCAAAAGGTATGACAAAGACATTGGACTTTAGTTTCAGTTTATTTCTAAAGTATCACACAGAAAATTGTATGCACATGAAGCAATACTAATGTAAGTAAGTATTCATAGATAATAAAGGACCTAGGGAGGATAGTCTGTGATAGACCACTTGTGCAAGCATGATGCCCTGGACTTGGATCACTAGTAACAAAAAGAAACAAAAACACAAAATAAATGAATAAATGCAAAATGAACAAAGGCTTACTACACACCAGGCGTTCCATTCTGTCCCCAATACATCAACTTATTTAACTCCCACAGCATTGCTGAGTAAGTGTCTAGCTTTCCGAGCATACTCCTGTAACTGTGTGATCCAGTCTCTCAAATCTAAAGGTAAAGTTAATTTTTAAAAGGAAGGAAAGAAAACAGTATTTGCATGTTCCCTACCCTGTTAATCTGTTTCCAGAGCAACTACAGTTGATTAAAGTTCTCACATGGTCAATCAAAAGACAAATGTCATGCTACTCTAAGCCACAAAAATGACATGTGTGTATGTGTGGGGTTGAAAGCTGACTGTGTTTGCTGGAACTTTATTATTTATTTATCTGTTTAAAAGTACACAGTGTGCTTGTGATTTAGCACTAAGCAAAGGTACACAGCATAGATTCCCTAACCTAAATGAACTGCCAGCCTTCATCCAAATACAATTCATTAAGGTTAAAAGGAGCACTATTTCACCTAAGTTTGTCATATTCTTCTAGGCTTGATATGGAAATACTCCCTAGGCTAATTCTCTAAGTCATTTACATGACAATTAAATACAGAGCAGTTGTGGGGGGGGGAACCACATCCCTAATTCTTGTTGCCTTACAATCTTTACTTCATATCAGAACTACATGATAGCTCAACGTTTTCATATGATGCTTCTGCAGTTGGCTCCATTCATAGTTTACCACCTTTCATGACTTGCCTTCTGGTTTGTTTTAACCTATTACTTCAGGGATTCTGGTTTTAATGAAAGAAAAAGATGCACTACTTTTGAGTAATGCTTCCTTTTCTTTTCTGGTACGGCAACATCTCTCTTGGGACTGGTATACACTAATGAGGCAGATTCTGATATCTTAAAGGCACCTTCATTATATATCCAGCACTGGCTTCCAGTATTATTTTCTCTCGCGGCCCTCCATCACTTCTTCGTGTTCATGCCTGTCAAGTCCTTTAGTTGTGACACCTGTGTGTCGTGACGGAGTCTGGTTTGTATTTGGTTGCTCGATGTAGCTTCAGCAACCAGAATGGTCCAGAGGCCTGAGCGATAGCAACATCCTCATCTTTTCCCAGCATCCTAGAGCACAGGGACGCCTGGCGTTATCTATGCTGCTTACTGGAGGTTCCTCACTCTCTGTTACAGACTTCGCAGCGCTTCCACAACTTCCACTGTCCAGTGTTAATCAAGTGTCACGGTGACGACCCTCCTATCCCACAACAAGCCCTCCCAGGGCAGGTGGGACACCTGGCAGCCCAACCCTCTGGCGTCAACTGCACGGTGCGCGCACGCGCTCAAGCACTCACCGTCTCCTTGGCAGCAGCAACCGGGATGGGCAGCAGCCCCCTACCGCGGGGCAGGTCGTCGAGCTCTGGGGCCGCTAGCTCCGAGGGCTCGGCTCTGGGGTCCCCATACAGCTGGTAGCACACGAGGCCGACCAGCCCCCCGCCCGCTGCCGCCGCGATGCTCAGCTCGCCCCAGCGACGCCGCCGCCACGCCGCCTCCGCTACGGCCCCCTCGTCCTCCTCCCGGCAGGAGAAGGGGCGGCCCGACATCCCCGGAGTCGTCCCCGCAGGCCGTCCCCACGGCGAGAGGAAGGGCTGCTGAGGGGCGAGCGTCGGCGACAGCCGAGGCGGCGGCCACAGGAGCCTCCGCAGCGCAGCCATAGCGGGAGCTGCGGGCCCAGCGGAGGGGAGAGGGGGGCGGGAGAGACGGTGTGAGATCTCGCGAGAAGTCGGCGCGGTGCTAGCGCACGGAGCGGATCCGCGGTCGTCCGTAGCCCGGGCAGAGCTTCTCCTAGTGCAGCCTTTGGATGCTGGCGCACGGCGGAGGGAGCTCCAAAGCCGCCCAAGTCCAGTCTGTTCTTCAAGCTTCCTCAGCGCAGCCACGCAGTCGTAGTGGACGGCGCTCGTAGCCATGGCAACTGGCTAAGGACCCCCCCCACCCCCAACACCGGGGAACCGCTGGTCGGCGGAACTCCAGGAGCCGAGGCTGCCGGGTCACCCGGCGCCCCTCCGAGGGAGGCCCGGCTGCTCTGTGCACAGCTCGGTGCCAGATTTGAGTGCTTAGTGGCTACAGGCAGACATTTGCTTCAAGTCATAAAGACTGCAGTTCCGAATTAATATTTTTGGACTACATAAGGGTGGCTTCTGGACTCTGGGCCAGGGCAGGCTAATGGTTTATAGTTAGTGTTAATATTTTTAGGACACACTGGTATAAAAAAACTATCAATTATGTGAAAACAATGGATTTTCAAAACTCAATTTTGTCTCTCTGTGTGCGTGTGTGGTTGTTGGTATAAATGTAACTGAGAAGTACAATGTACCCTCTTTATTTTGTGCACGCCATACTTTTTTGTGTGTGCACATTGCCAGTGTCAACTTTATTGAGTTATGCTTGCTTTGCTCTTCGTGTGGAATGGTGCCAAGAACCCCTGAAAAGTTTCAGATCTAGAAGAATAGTCAACAACATCCAATAGTTTAATTGGTTGGTTGTCTGGCCTACATCCTGCTGTGTCTGTCCCTCACCCCTTACTTGCAAGTGACTTATCATATATGTTGTGTTTTGTTTTGCTTTAATATAGGTTAATAGAATTTTACTTTTTTAAAGCTACTAAAAGTGGTAAAAAGAAATGTCTGTGACATATAAGGACTAAATCTATTTTAGGTCATCTGTTTTCCACTGAAGCCTGTTAATTCCATCAGGATGACTTGTGGCAGCTCCGTACTTTTCCAGAATTTTTTTTCCTCAATTTTTGTTTCTCTGATTTCAAACATTTTTAATTTTCCCGAATCGTTTACTTCCCTAAGATATGTATGTATGTATGTATGTATGTATATGTATGGATATATACATCTATATAATATATGATGATGTGTGTAGCACAGGTCCTCTAAACTTGTCTTCTTTGAACTGAGCACAATTTCCTGATATTTTTTATAATTTACCAACATGGACTATTATCAGAAATCTTGGACAGACTATATTTTTATATTTGTGGCACTTAAAAAGCTAAGAAGCTATAAAGTGAAATAGGAAAGTAATATATACTGTCGTTGCAATGAGAAAAACAATGAATTATCTAGGATAAAGTTATATGACATATGCACATAGTTATCTATTTTCTTCAGTCATAATAAATTTATAGGCCACATTTCCATTTTCTCTAAGGAGAAGCCAAATTCTTCTGTAAGAAGTACAGGGTTTAGATCTACAGAGTACTCAAATGTAGATTACAAATGTCTCATGCACAGAAGTTATCAGGCTTCCATACTTTCTTTCTTTTAAACCCAAACTCTGTTAAGAATAATGATTGTTTTCTCCCCAAGTTCTATGCTTTGTGGCAATTGCTACAGAAGAATAGCTGACATTGCTATGCTACTTGGATATTAAGTTTAATCCCCAGAGTAAACATGATAAAAAAGTATGATATTAGGAATTTGGGACTTCTTGAAACTTCAGATAAATACAGATTCAGCCTAACTTTTACTCCTTATTTGGATTAATTCTAAAGAGAATCAATGATTATGCTCCACAGTGAGACCTCAAAATAGTCAAAGAGACTGTCACTTGCACTCATTCGCTATGGTCTAAGTGAAAAAGAATGTTCTGGAAAAATGCAAGGATTAAGCCAGAAATGATTCTTCAGGAAAGGGTGTATTTTATACAACTATTACAGGCTAGAGGCCTGGACTCTCATCCTGACAGTATAGCAACTGTTATAGTGTCTCAGAGGCCACAGTTTCTAATCAAATAGCAGGACTATAGACACCTCATGGATGTTTCATTTCATATATATACACATGCATTTTATAGCATTTGGGTTTTCTTTTTTCAATTCTGTGGTACATAGTATCTCTCACATCTTATCTCTTTAAATCTGCAATTGCCCTACTTGCTTTGTTTTTTCAACTTAAAAATTGCAACTCCTGACCTAATGATGTTAGCTTTTTGCTAGCTGCCATCTTGAGAGTAAGAGAATAACCTTTATTTGTTGAAAATGTGGAATCATCAGAAACAGCTTAATAAAACTCCTATAGAAACTTATCATTTTGTCTTATTCTGTACACCGGAGCTCCCAAAGTCTGCCTAGTTATGAGAAGTGTGTGTCCCGAATTTGTTCATGCTCATTCTCATACCCCATCCACTGCCCTGGTCCACTCAGTCCTGACAACAGCAGGACTGTAATAATCTTCTAAATCTTCCTTTTGAGGAACATTGTCCCAACGATCACCCCAGAATGTTCATGTAGCCCCCACTCTGCCACAAGTGATAGGACATCAGTAGTGTTCCTTAGGAAGGGGTTTATTATGATTGTGAAGTGGGGAAGAGAATAAGAGTATACAGAAATAGAATGAGTGACCCTTCTTATAAACATGAGACTCCAGCAGAAAGTCATGTTAAATAACAAATTGATTTACTTCCTGAAAAATCAAGCTGCACATCTGGAGATCTGATTGATTTAAATGGGAGGCTTCCATGGCCAATCTTGATTATCAACATGACAGGATTTGGAATGATCAAGGAGATGGAGTGGGTATAGGATTAACTAAGAAAGGGCAGGTAGCTTAGGCAGCACCTTAGGACGAGTGACCCAGATAAAGGAAAGCCTCAGGGAAAGGAGTTTGTTCCTATTCACTTTTGGCTGCTTCTTCCTGATTGGCTGTGTCTATCAGTTGCTGCAGTCTTCCCACCGATGTCAGACACTAGCTTCTTCATTCTTCCTATGCATACCAGATACCAGCAGCTTTTCAGGGACTGAAAACTTTTGGGCCTTCTGAGCCAGTGTGGAAGTACTGAGACCCACGGACTTCATGGGCTGAGGAAGTACCAGGATCTCTACCTTCTTTAGCATGCAGACAGCCATTGTTGAACTAGCTAACCCATATCGATAGTGTAAGCCAAAGTAATACATTCCCCTTTTATAATGTGCATTCATTCTATTGGTTCTGTTTCTCCAGAGGACCATTGCTCAGTGTAGAGGCCAAAAGGGGAAACGGAACGAAGCAAAGGAGGAAGGTGATCACGGAGAAGGGTTAATTCAAGAATAGGTTCTGAGATTTTGAGATTTTTGGAGCTAGTGCTTTTTAAATATTACCTGGAACAATCACATTGGATTAGAGTCTTAAATCTCAGTCCTTACAGTCCCCTAAGGAAGTTCATCATTATTCATTGCCATAAGTCACAGGCCTGATGGTCACATGTCCCTCTTTGTTCTCATGTATCTGCTTGTTAGCAGTAACCAAATTCTTAGTGATGTACATATATATTCTAACATCAAGGCCAGTAAAACTCTAACCATGACCATTACACCTACTTAGGTTTTGTATTTTAACGTACTCTTCACAAGTTCAAGGTCTTTGCTATTGATGCGTTATTGCCCAACTCCTCTTGTGTAGCCCTTAAAATTTGCTTCTTTGCTTGCTACTTGCTGTAGGAACTTTTACATTATTTAAAGAATAGCATGGAATAGCCTCTCAGACTTATTATCAGTAAAGTTCCCCCTCCCCCATCCAAAGCAAGAAAACTCATTTTACTGTCATTCTTCTTTTATTTATGTGTTGTGGTTGTTTGAAGGAAAATGGCCTCCATAGGTTCATACAGAGTGGCACTATTAGGAGGTGTGGTCTTGTTAGAGGAAGTGTGTCATAAGGGGGTGGGCTTTGAGGTTTCAAATACTCAAGCCATGCCCAGTATCCCTCTCTCTACCTGTTGCTGCCCATCCAGATGTAGAACTCTCAGCTCCTTCTATAACACTGAATCTGCCTTCATACTGTCATGTTTCCTGCCATGAGGATAATGGACTAAACTTCTGAACTACAAGCAAGCCCCAATGAAATGTTTTTCTTTATAAGAGTTGTTGTAGTCATGTAGAGTTGATGTCTCTTCATAGCTAAACAATGATGACTAACACAGAAGTCATAGTGATTAGAGCTCCGTAACCATCAAAGGATGTCTTCTGGCAGAAAATAGGTTCCTAATACAATACTAGTCATCCATTACACACTGCAGTACCAGAGTGTCAAAATAACTAATGAGCTTCTGAAAACTATTAGCAATATTTACTAAGACTCAACGTATGCATGTCCTGTGGCCTAATTCTACCCCTCATTGAAATAACATGAGCAAGTACGTAAGTCTCCAGAAGACATAGGCATGTATTCAAGGCAGCATCACTTGTAATTGTCAACAGAATATAAGCTACTCATATGTCCTTCAGTGGATGTGCAGGTGTAAAAAACAATAGTTTATCTAACCAACTGGATAGAACAAATAAAGAATTCTAAACTGCCATTACATGTAATCATCTTGATTAATTTCATAAGATAAAACTGAGTCTAAGAAGTCAAATACAAAAACTCATTTATGGAGCTGGAGTGATGGATCAGCTGTTAAGAACTGGCAAGTCTTCCAGAGGACTTAGTTTGATCCCCGCACCCACATAGTAGCTCACCACTGTTTGTAACTCACAGGGCAACTGATACCTGCTTCTGTCCTCCAAGGGCACAAGGCACAGATGTAGTGTACAGATGTACATGCAGGCAAAATAGTCATATGCATGAAAAATAAATTAAAAAATTAAGCTCATTTATTATTTTGTGTGTATGTGTGTGCACAAGTGCATATAAGTCACGTGCATGTCGAGATCAGACGACAACTTGCAGGCATTGGTTTTCTCCTTCATCACATAAGTCCTGGAGATCAAA